TGGTGTCTTCTTTAATCCATCTCCACAATGTTTTATTGGTCAGCTTCAGGAAACACTCTTTGATCTGGACCATGTCAATCTAAAATTTAAAATAGTCAACAATAAGAACATATTCATGAAAAAACGTTTTTTTTTTAAATATTGAAAGTGGCTCCATTTCAATCTAGCCTTAAATGGATACCAGAAAATGTCATGTGAAGCATCTGCGACCAGTATGATGATGATCTCACTACCCATCTAGTACCGATTCTATATAAAAAATATAGGTCTAACCTTATATATCCGATGAGCTAAGGGCATAAAAAGTGTCGTTTAATTACTTTCTTCTTTCGACAAAATAACGGCATAGACCATACCGTATGGTGTTGCTGGGCATGTTTATTCTGTCTTCAATCTTGTATACTTTTAATCAATTCTCGCACAGAAGATCTTCCATAGTCCATGCTGTGTGGCGTTGGTAGTCATGTCTATTCACAACCTTTTGTCTCGTGTACTTTCAGTCAGTTCTCACACAGAAGATCTTCCATAGTCCATGCTGTGTGGCGTTGGTAGTCATGTCTATTCACAACCTCTTGTCTCGTGTACTTTTAGTCAGTTCTCACACAGAAGATCTTCCATAGTCCATGCTGTGTGGCGTTGGTAGTCATGTCTATTCACAACCTTTTGTCTCGTGTACTTTTAGTCAGTTCTCACACAGAAGATCTTCCGTGCCATGATGTCAAACTGTCCAGCTTCTTCCCTCGGTGTCTCTCTGACTCTTTTCCCCTTCAACTTTCTCACGGTTGCGATGTACTCCAGTTCTCTCCTTCCCATGACATGACCAAAGAATGAAGATTGCTTCGTCTGATGTGGGCGACCAGTTCTTTCCGTGAGGCACTTTATTTCAAGACACATTCATTAGGCTTTTTGTCTGTCCAGGGTGTCATCATTCGTCTATAAAACTACATCCGTCTAGTTTCCATACACTTATTCTCTAGCTGACTACCTGTCAATGATTCACTTTTGCATATCTGGACATTACTTATAAAGTTCTTTCGAATTCTCTTTCTCGCCTTAACTGGCAAATAAAGATTGCATAGAATATTCTTCATTATTAATTTTCAAATTAGTTGAAGTTAACGGTTAACTTATTTAACGGGGTTTGTGGTTTAGGCATTATGACAGAGATGTTTAATTCCAAAATACTAGGTTAGATTCTAATTGCAGTCGATTTGACAAAATACCGCCTTGCGTTAATTTGGACAATGGTATCACCAGTAGATAAACACACGTCTACATAGAATTATCAAAATTTTCTGGCCATATACAATCTCAAACTCAACTACTTTAAGTCACAAATCAAGAAAATCTAGAAAGCATAACCACAACTTTTTTTTTAAAATAGTGTTTTCCAAGACAACATAATGTTTTTGCTGTCTTCTATCACATACATATGGTATATTAAACTCTGTATGTGGATTATTAGTTTTGCTACTTCTCTCCTCATATTGTCTCTGTTGAAATTCTTCAGGCTTAACTTTTTCCCTTTTTGACTCTACAGCTTGGGTTGTATGAAGTTAAAGTAGCAATCGATTCGTTCCGAATACGTTAATCTTCACATTCGACAAAAAACATTGATAGTTATGGCCATATTCAGCAATGAACATTCATAATCGTAACTCTCGACACTGAATAAGTCATTGACTGACTGACTGACTTTCCACCCCACTAGGCCATCACACAAGTGATATACACGCGACGACACAAAGTGCCACCACGCGGATGAGGATCGCCGTGGAGAGGTCCCAGAAACTGCGTTCAGACAATTGGCCACATTTATGGCCTGCCTATATTGAGGCCCCTGGCAAAAGTGGGGCTTCAAAAAACAAAAAAATTTCATCCTAAAAAGGACGAAAGTGGATATCATATAAACTATAGTAATTGTTTAATACCACAGAAAATGCGACTAGAATGCTTATCGGATGTGACTGTAGAAAAATTCAACGGACAAGATAACAGAGCTTCTAAACAATTAAGGTCAACATGAAATCCTATTATGTTTTTCTTGGTTTAATATTAACATTTGTTTTTTTAAGTTCTGTTATTCTTGTCAGTTGAGTTTTTAGTCACAGTTTGCGTTGTATTTGGCTTTACCCTAGTTGATAAATTTCTTATGGCATATAGAAAAGTTCCGAATTACTTCATCAACAGACATAGTGAGAGACATTTAATTTTATTTTCGCTAACACATAAACGGAGCAAGTATAGGGATGTCCGATTTGCAATGAAGATGTTCTTTAAATCAACAATGAACAATGAAACCTTGACTAAGACCGAATTGCGTTGTTGTTGTACGCGTCTTCTACTTTCGCTCCCATGAGTTTTCTAGTCACATTTTATGTTGTATTTAGCGCTTTTGTCCATCAGCTTGACTGCGATAACCACCTATCCACTGAACATCAATGCTCGTTATGACGTGAAATGTTGAAAAACAAACCTCAGATCTGGAGACAATGATGCGGATGAGTGTCCTCTCATCGGTCCCTAAACCTTTCATGGCATCTCGAAGTTTTTCGGCAAAGAACATGGGGCGGCTTCTGATATTCATTACTGCAAGGATAAAGACAAAGAGAGATACATGTAATCCCAAGTGCTACTCCTATTTGCAGTAGGAATTCACCTGTGTGCCCTTTGACTATTGTTAGGTTTTAATATCTCTAGCACAAACACCACGTTGCACAATTTACAGTGTGGTATATTTCGATGTATTTCGTAAGGTGCATTACTAAACAGTAAATCGTCATATAGTGAAGAAGACATCAAAAAAACTTTCGCTGAAATACGTAATGCATGGTGCCAGTGTCCGTGAAAGTAAGAACGACCAGTAACGAATTGACCATACACCAGTCGATACCCAATGATGAACACCATATATGTAGCTAAAAAAAAAAATAACAGCAAACCAACACAAAAATTGTGCTTTTAGTCGCCACCCACTGGGGGATATACTGAAGATAACTAACAAATAACTAACTAACTAACTAACCACTCGAGAACCAAGATCAACATTTTAAGAGAAAAGGAAAAATAGTAGTTATTCTTCATTGTATGTTGATATGGGAAGCCACCGTGGTGTTGCTGCTAGACGTTCGCCTGTGAAGGTCGTGGGTTCAGATCCTGGCTGAGCCATACTGTGTTTTCCTTTTTAAATGACAACGGCTCCCACATTGACCCAGGCTTAAATAGGTACCAGGTCCGGTCCTGTGAAGTAAATTCGGAGGGCGTGATGTTGACCGTTATACCCATCGAGTGCCGATTGGTCTATATAATATAGGTCTAGCCCTATCTGAAGGCGTTGAAAAGGCTCGTTTACTTTACTTTATATGTTAACTAGATTTCATTGCCCGGCTTCGCTGGAGATAGTTAAAAAAAAAAAAAAAAAGTCAACTCTGAATTTGTACACCAGGGCAGCAGTATATGTGTTAGAAACTCCAAGGAGGAGCGAGCACAACATGAGCCTTACGTCTTTGAGTTTCTCTTGGACGCCCTCGCTTTCTAAACCCGTCATGTCATATTTCAGTGCATGTCTGATGATTCTCTGGTGTTTCTGAAGCAAAAACATTTGTACAGGGTGTGGGAACTAAAAGTCACGACCCGAGGTGGAGTGGTAGGAGCGTCCTAGACCAGTTCTTCCCATAGTTAACACCAGGTCCGGCTGTATATAAATAGAAAGGACCGTGGTTAACACTACCGCCACTTAAGCACCCCTTTGGGGTGATGGGGAAAGTGACTAGTGGCATGACTTCTGGTTTAAATTCGGCATGTTGGCATGACCCTCGAGTCTGAACGATAAAGCAATAACCTCCACTACTGCAACTATTTTACAGTCTACGTTTCAAATGAAGTAACAAGAAAATATAATTTAAAATATTTATACACAGCACAGGACGACGATTAACATCCACCGCAGATGACAAATAAAAATGTTTACTTATTGCCCTTAGGCCTCTCTTGAAATCTCCTGAAGTTTCACGGTCCACGGTGTTCAGTATGTCTCTTTGTGTTATCTAAGAATACAGACATAATTCTTCACTGATAGACAAACATAATTTGTCAGTAAGTTTACATCTCTAGATGAAAGCAGCCACATTTATGCAAAAAACGGCTACATTGTAGTTTTTCTTTGGGGGGGGGGGGGGGGGGGGGGAGGGGGGGGGGGGGAGGGGGATGAAGGGGGGGGGGGGGAGAAAAATTACTAAATACTTACAGATGGACATATCATTGTAACAAGCTCTTTGAACATGCCATGAAAAATTAAGACTTGTGTCCTACACAGATGTATCCAGATAGAGACGTTCGGCGATCTTTCTGGCAAACCTCTACAACCCAAAGTAGAAGAGGAGCGACTAAGTAAGTAAGTAATTAATCAAGTAAGTGAGTAAGTGTGTAAGTTAGTGAGTAAGTAAGTAAGTCCTACGCACAGAGTGGTTCGCATCGCTTAATAAGACTCAGATTTTTTGGTTTTTGTTTTGTTTCCCCTTTATTTCAACTCTGTGTGTTTGCGAGTATTGTTTTTTCCTGATATCGTGTGAATATTTGTCTGTTGCTTATGTATTGTTAGTCTGTTTACATTTGTTGCCGTTTGTTTGTGTCTGTTTTGTGTTATGTGCCAAAAAACTTTAAAAAACACTCAGATTAGAAGCATATTAAGTAAGTAAGTAAATTTTACCCCACCAGGACACCACACAGAGCGATAAACACCCGGTGACACAAAGTGCCACCATACCGATGAGGATCATCTGTGGAGAGGTGTCGGAAACCAGGTTCAACCCTTAGGTTCTATTAGGAGCATTTTCGGTGCTTTGTTAATATCCTATCCCACAAAGAAGAAATCCAAAGGTCACGGGACAGTAATATTTCAGGAGGTGGTAGATAGGCTGCATGCAGTCGTGGAACCTAGGCTGCACTCTCTTGTGGTACGTAGGTGGGTTTGGGTAAAGGCCAGCTCTAGATGTTTTGGGATCGTTAAAAGCACCAAAAAGCCGGGAAACCCAGTCTTACGACCCCTCATAAATTTTGGACTGTCCCGTGATATCATCTGGGGTTGGATATTAATAAAGCACCGGATTGTCTACTGAGGATATTTTGGTGTGTGGGCTAATGAGCAGCCTGATAGATTGGCTGCTGTTGGTTCTCTAAGTGGCGAGTTAGTTTATGATAAAGTGGTCGCGGTGAAAGCTCTCTGGAATCAACTTGAAAGTGCTGCGAAACAGACAGACAGACAGGGAGAAAGACAGCTGGACTTTAAGAGTGCATATAACATCATCATTTTTGGAACGCTTTGTCGGCTACCAACGAAGAGACATTATATTGTATGGGAATTCCCTAAGTGGATTGATGTCATTCGTTTATTCACTCATTCATTCATTTATTCATTCATTCATCTAAATATATTATTGTAGAAACCAAGTATGTATACATTTGCACAGTGATATATATATATATATATATATATATATATATATATATATATATATATATATATATATATATATATATATATATATATATATATATATATATATATTTTCTAGAAACATATAAATTTCATTGTTTTATACTAGTATTCATGTTCAAATCAATCACCATCCTTCATGATGTCACTTTTTGTTCTGTGTAGAACGTGGCCGAGCTTTCGTTTTGTTTTGTAAAATGAACGAGGAAAAAGTTGTTCTGGTGGATGGTTTAGAAGAGAACGCCCTTAGCATTTTCGAAATGGCTGGTTCAATTCCAGCCAGTGCAGATCGCTTTCCGTTGATTTCAACAATAGTATGGAAGTCTCACTTGAAAACTACTGAAAGTAAAATTGCCTTGTAAAATCGCAGACATCCAAAACATGCTAAAGTTGGTTTTGCAAAGTCCTATAAAGGATACGCAACTAACTTTCGTTGTTGTGGGACCTCAATTAGCTGGAGTAAAGGTACCTTTTAAACGCCTTTAGGTCTATTGGGAATATAGGGCTAGAGCTATCTTTTTTATGGACCAATCGACGCTTGGTGGGTGATGTAGTCAGCATCACGCCGGTCGCCTTTACATCCCAGGACTGCAGCTGGTACTCACTCAAGGCTGAGTCGACCTGAGAGTTAAGGTCATTAAAAAAATTCTGGCTCCGTAAAAACGCAAGCCCGTGTCCTTCCGATCCACAGGCAAGTATCTAGCCGCCAATGCCACGGCAATTACCTCAGATCGGAGCAAATAACAGATCTTTTGCAAAGAAAACAACAGTTATGTACAGATGCTTGGAAGTACCATCCTAGGTTTACCTTAACATACTCATCCCAGATGGCTCTCAGCTGATAGTAGTCCCTGGAGGAGAAGATCCTGTTGAACGTCTCCTCGTCTGTCCCCCATCTGGCCTCTCCGGCTTTGTAAAGTTGCTGAGCCTCGTTTCGGGCTTTGGTTACGTCACACAGTTTGTTGTAGTTGACCTCAAACAATCCTGCAACAAGTTACAATGCTCTTTAGGAATGTCTGTTAAATACTCTCTCACTCATTCATTCATTCAGTAGCATGTCCCTCGCGGAACCTCGCTGCCATAACAACCCTCCGGAAAACCTTCCTATCATGAGCAAGATGTCCTGCGTCTGATACACCCATCTGGAGATCATCTGCCACATCCTGCACCCATCTTCTCCTTGGCCTTCCTCTTCCTCTCTTCCCAGGCATATACCCCTCCATTATTGTTCTCTCTAGACCTCCATGACGTTTCAAGTGACCAAAATATTTCAATTTTCTTTGTTTTATTGTCTTTACTAGCCAACCCTCTTCAATATTCAGCTCTTGAAGTATGGATGCATTTGTTCTTTTCTTTACCCAAGATATTCTTAGAACCTGTCTGTAACATTTATATTCAAATGCATTTATGCGCTGTTCCGCTTGTTTAGTAAGTGTCCAGGTCTCACAGGCGTATGTTGCAATGGGAAAGATGCATGCTCTTAAAAATCTGACCTTTGTAATTCTATCTGTACAATTCCATAATTTATTCAGTTGTTTTAGTCTTTGAAGAGCAATTGATAGTCGCCGTTTAATTTCTTTCATTGTGTCACCATTGTTGGTAACCAGTGACCCTAGATATTCGAAATTTTCCACCACTTCCAATCTTTCCTCATTAACATATATTTCTTTCTCCATGGCAGTTTTGTTTGTATGCATTATCTTTGTTTTTGCTGTGTTAAGAAATAAGTTATGATTTTCACTATTTCTTTGGAGTGAGGTTAATAAGTTTTCTAAACCATTTCTAAACTCTCTCACTAAAAGAAGAAAAAAAAAAATGAAATGCCCATTGAGTATTCACCTAGAAAAAGTAAGCATACTTTTTTAGGGACTATTTAATTGACTATTCACTCGGAAAAGTAACTTTTGTTTATTGTTAGAAATGTCTCTTTGCTATTTTCTCATGAAAAAAAAGTGAAAAAAAAACAAAAAAAAAAACAGCGCTTGTTCTCCTAGAAAATGTGAATATTTTCACAAATTATTAGTTGCTTTTCTCTTAGAAAATGTATAAATAAAGAACCCTTTTCCATACCCTTAAGCTTTTTTCCGTTTGTAGTACTAGACTTATATTTTATACACCAATTGACACTGATGTTGACTGCCTTTACTTTCAAAGACTTTACCTAGTACCTATTTTAGGCGGGTCGACCTGGGAGCCAATGTAATTTTCACCCTTCTTTCCCCTAATGAGTAAACACCCCCCCCCCCCCCCACGCTCCTCCCACAAATTCCTGGTAGATGCTGCACTCAGAGATCTCCCTTTAAAAAAAATAAAAGTACCCATGTGTGTCAAACTGTTTCTCCACTATTCGCCTAAAAATGTGACACATTTTGAAAAAATGTCAATTGGCTACTCTCTCATAGACAATGTTTTTTAAATTAATGTATTATTGGTTATTCATTAAAAAGTTTTGTGAAGCATAAAATATAAAGGAACCAACATCAACACCTCGAGCTTAATGTGCACACTACCTTAAACTCGAGAATGGTGAAACTATGGGGGTGACTGCAGTCAAGCTAATACAATGAATTCCAGAGAAATTTGACTAAAAAGCTCAACAAAATGGGAAAGAGGAAAACGTGCACAAAACAACAAAACGTAACGTTTCCGCCGGGCAGCCTTTTTCAAACACAAGTGAAAGACACAAACGAGGAATGGAGAGTATGCAGATCTCTAAGGGGTGAAGTGAGCGACTTTTAAAAAAATGTGATGCGGAATAAATGAAATAAAATAAAAAAAAAACGATGGCTAAAAAATATAGTCACAATACTGGGAATAAAAGAAATGCAAGTGTTAATGATAGATAAATGATACTGATAAGAAATAAAATAAGGTAATAATATTAAATAAAATAAAATAATTAACATTTAAAATGTGATAAGATTAGAACTATTTAGATGAAGGTATGTTTGATATTGATACCTCTTGGACTAAGAACGCCAAGGCTGTGGATAAGGCGATTTTCCAAAGCAAGGCGGGTAGTATGATCGCCAGAGCAAGCTTTTAATGCTGTGACAGATATGTCATCTTTACCGCTGTGGTCAGGGCTATTAAAATGAAGAGGGATTGGTTTGAGTGTCTTTTTGTCGATATCGGAGAGGTGTTCCCGGAAACGATCAGCTAGCTTCTTGCCAGTCTCCCCAATGTATGCCTTGCTGCATCGTTTGCAGATAATTGCATAAATTACGTTGCGGGATTCGCAAGTAAAAGGTTTAAAACTCGAGAAGTAATGTTACTAGTATGTTTCCTTGATAAACTCGAGAAGTAATGTTACTAGTATGTTTCCTTGATAAACTCGAGAAGTAATGTTACTAGTAAGTTTCCTTGATAAACTTGAGAAGTAATGTTACTAGTATGTTTCCTTGATAAACTCGAGAAGTAATGTTACTAGTATGTTTCCTTGATAAACTCGAGAAGTAATGTTACTAGTATGTTTCCTTGATAAACTCGAGAAGTAATGTTACTAGTATGTTTCCTTGATAAACTAGAGAAGTAATGTTACTAGTATGTTTCCTTGATAAACTCGAGAAGTAATGCTACTAGTATGTTTCCTTGATAAACTCGAGAAGTAATGTTACTAGTATGTTTCCTTGATAAACTCGAGAAGATTCAATCTGTAGTGAGTTTTCTTTCGTTTGACTTCAAATATAAAAACCCACAATTAATTGCGTGATACTTACGGACTGTCGTTGACATAAAATAAAGTGTTGGTTGGAACAGGAAAAATAAGATTTTACAGCAGCACTGTACACATAGCTATGAGTTAAAAAACCAAATTTACCAGTTTCAAGCTTCTAAAAACCATGTAATATCCACAAAAATAAATAAACAACTTGAGCAAATTGAGCATTAATTAACAGTATATCGAAGTCAAAGTGGCTTAATCTGAAGACAAAGCTCAGATTATTAAAGAGCGACATTTTAAGAATACTATTAAACGAGAGTGAATGTTGAAAATGACAGCAGAAATTGAACACAGACACAAGATGTGTGTTAAAACAAATTTCCAAATAGAATCTTGCGAATACTCTTTAGCTAAACAAGATCACAAATGAAGAACTGAGAAAGAAAACAAAATGTTCATCACTGGTACACCGTGTTATCAAATGAAGAAGATGACGATATCTTGGGAATGTCTGCAGAATGCTTGTTGACACCTTGACAAGTACAACGCTGCAGTTGGTGCCAGAAGGAAAAAGGGGACGTGGGCGAACTTGAAAAAGGACAGCAGAAAGAGAAATAAAGAGATGTAAAATGGCAGGGGATACCAGTTGCCGAAAAGCAGCATAGCGGCAAAACAGCGAAACGAAGAGGGTATAGATAGCCAGACTTACCAGTTCCAGAACCGTCCTGTGGGTTTATCACCTCTTCTACCGCTTGTTCCAGTTTGTCCTGAGGTATTTCGTATCTCTTACCCTGAAAGTCATTTCACAATGTAATTTGTGTGTGTGTGTGTGTGTGTGTGTGTGTGTGTGTGTGTGTGTGTGTGTGTGTGTGTGTACTTTACATTATCTCAAGACACGATGTCGATTTACCGTCTGGATACATTTTCAAAGTGCCCTCTTCGTCTGCTAACTAGAGCATAGGCCCTCAAACATAAACACCAGTCTGTCTTATCTGTTGTATTTACTGCAGCTCACCCCGTGGTAATATTTTAAAGAATAAACAATCGCCATCGTGCAGCACATTTTTTGCAGAATGTGATCAACTTTTTCAGTACCAGTCAACTCAAGGTGCATTTATTAGTAATTCCCTACATAATAAGTTGTCATCAAAACTACTTCTTCTTCTTCCTCAATATTCCAAGCCATTGAAATTCATTGCTGCAGATATCACCCGCCTCCATTCATCTCTCTGGTTGGCCCTTTCTTTCCTGTTGTTGACACCAAGTGTTTGCAGGTTTATCTGGATATTATCTCTCCATCGTCTTCATCAAAACTAAGCACCGGTCTAATTCTTACAATAATCCACTTGATCGCAAATGTTATTTTAACTTGTATCTGACCAATATGCTTATTACTGCAGTTAATTTAGACCGAGAACTTGTTAGTTTCGGTTAATAATTGGTTTGGACAGAACATGTTTGAGGACAACTAGCTGGGACTTAATAGAGTTACCGTAAATCACGAAAAGCCGCCAAGATTCTCCTTTCTTAAGCAGATAATTTGTGAATTTATACACCAGTTGATCATTATTAAAACACAGAAACATAAGTATAAGCGCTAAGAAACAGACGATAAACAGCATATTCATACCAACACTGTGCTACCAGTGCCAGACTTGGACATTATCAAAGGCTAACCTACTTAAAACGAACACCTATGACATGAGATACATGAGAGATACCTTTTACATAACCATCTGAGGCAAAGTTAGAAATGGTATTATCAGACAGAGTGAACAACACCATGCAGCGAATTCATTGATAAGCAGAAGATCAAATGGTTTCGCCATCTAGTAAGAATGCCGCCAGAGCAACTACCAACGCAGGCGCTACAGATGAAAAGATATCAAGTGAAAGCAAGAGGCCGCCCTAGGAGAAAATGACATTGAAGAGATATACATCGACATGGAATGACAAAAGCCATTGCTGCCCAGAGAGCCTTGGATCGTATACTGTTCATCTTCACGATGTTTAACAGCAGAAGTGGAAACTGATGGCTGATGTTTGCATCTCTGCCTAGACTGGATAAATTTAATGTTTCATGCCCATCTTCACTCACCAGGGACCCTTTCAATGATTGTTTCTTAGCCATTTTGACGTAATGTGGGGAAGCTATTTCAAACTTTAGTCCTGCGTTTCATCCCTCTTTAAATCTCAATCCAAGAAACCAGAATCAGTTAAAAGAAACAGGTTGCAAATCTGAAACTCTCTCGAGAGATTACACGATTCTGCTTGATAATATCAGGAAAATGTGTTTAACACAATAGAAACTAAACTTTATCTAAAATATTATTAAAGTAACTGCAAAGTAAATAGGCAAAGAACCCTCTTCATGATAGAAGCGCCTCATGCAAAAGGTGCAAAACTCTTACTTATAGACCAATCAACCCTCGATACGGATGTGGTAAGCATCACCCTGGCTGCCTTTACTTTCCAGGATTTTACCTGGGTACCTTTAACTGGTACATTTTCATGACTTTACCTGGTTCCCTCAAGCTGGGTGAACCTGGGATTCAAGGTCATTAAAAAATATTTTTTTTTTCAATCCAACTCTATGGGGATACGGAGCTAAGACAGAACAGCTAATTTCCATTTCTGGCTACCACTTTTGAGGTTGTTTAGGATATAAGGATCTTGAACCTGAGGGTTTAGGGCACCATGGCTATTGCAATCGATACAAACTGTGGAGGCTATGATTCTTATTTGTGTACCAGTAGAAACAGAAAGCAGGATAATACCATTGCTGCTGAGATAAGCAAACGCTTGAAGTCACCACTGGTGTCGTCCCTGATGTCCTTCTCAAACTGGGAATCCTTGGCTACACGGCTCTTGTGAACCACTGTTGAGACATGGTTGTTAAACAACATTAGTGGTTCATAATTGTTACTTTTCTGCAGCTTAAGGCATTTAAAGTAAATAACATTGAAACAAAAAGAAAGGGGCGGGGGGGGAAAACAAGAGGGTGGGGGTGGAATTCTTCGGACAGTGGTGTGATAAAATATACAAATATATCTCACAGGTACGATAAGTATACACGCTAAACGCTAATTTGCTTAGCAAAGCATGGGGCTTGTGAAATATGTGCAGTACGTCATAAACTGTGAAATCGAGTACTTTACTAAATGTTTACCCTTATTTACGTCTTTTCACATTGCTACAATTTTTTTATTCCAATAATCTGGTGCTGTTGCCTTGACCACAAGTAATCTGACTATGGAGGTCATAGCAGTCACCAAAGCAATAACATGGCTAAGGACACAGACCTTTTCCTATACATACTTTCTCAGTGACTCGATGCCCGGGAAGATTGACAAGGGCTGGGTCCGAAGACAGTGGTTAGTCTCTAAAACGGTCGTGGTGGCCAACAATCAGTTTCACATTTATGGCAGGGCACGCAGGCGTGTAAGGAAATGAGCAAGCTGATCGGCTTGCAGGTAAAGCTACTTTGAAGGGCGGACGAGCAATGGACCGTGTTAATATTCGGAATGCTCTGCGAGAAGTAAGACGTTTGCAAGAACCAAGTGATGACTGTGAATCTGCAACCATGGTCCGACTGCAAGAACATCTTAAAAGGGGTGTGACCAGACAAGAGAACTATGTTTAATTTCCCTTTACTTCTTGTCTTCCCTTCACATCAGTTCACTGTACTTTTTTTTTATGTGACTTTATTTTATTCACATACGTGGTTTTCTAGCTGTCAGTGGTTTCCGTGGCATGTGGAGATTGTGAGTATATTGTGGACCTTATTTTTTTTTTGTTTACAAATGCAGGTTTTTTTTCACAGGAGTTTCGGAGTTCGTGCTTTGTGCAACGCTTACAACGGCCGAACAAGCGCTCTGTGTCGAAGACACCAAGCCCTAAAGTTACAAAAAAAGTTGATTCTCATCCTTTTAAACACCAAACATATAGTCATGAACAGGGCTTGCTTCTAGAAAAAGAAATACGGGTACACAGCATGATGTGTGGGAGTCGCCGTGGCGTAGCGGTTAGACGCTCGCGTGTGGATCGGAGGGTCGTGGGTTCGCTCCCTGGCGGAGCCGGACTTTTTTTAAAAATGACCCAGCCTTGAATGTGTACCGGGTGCAGTCCCGAAAAGTAAAAGCAGCCGGCGTGATGCTGACCATATCACCCATCTTGTGCCGATTGGTCTATTAAAAAATATACGTCTAGCCCTATATGCCCTATACGCCCAAAGACGTGGAAATAAGTCCTTTGGTTACAAAGATATATTATAAACACGACACGCATGGGTGAGTTTCTTTGAAGCACTGAGACTTACCGCGAGGATAGGCAGCTCTGATCTCTTTGATCTGGTCATTTGTCCGTGTCATAAGTATCTCCACCAGTGCCTGTTCGTCTGTACCAAGACCCTGAGTTGTGATGGCAGAACGAGTTAAGTTATTTGCCGTCAAACCTTCATTTCAAATAGTGTATCAGCCCGAAATATTGACGGCACCACCCACGAAGCTTCCCTTTGGTCTGTAGAATCTGGGTCTAGGACTAAACACATGTTGTATGCTAAGCTCGCAACAGTATGTAAGCATAGTTAGTTAGTTATCCGAACGATTATCCTCACTGCACATCTGACAAGTCCATAAGCTCTCAAATCCCATCTTCAGTAAATCCCCCAGCGTGTGGCGACTGATAATATAGGTTCTGTGTTCGTTTAATATTCTTTTTGGCTACCTGTATAATATTCATGTTTGTCGACACCTCTTTTGACCTGAAGTTCTTGTAGTTTTTTAAGTGTTCCTTATTCTACGTCGTTTCCCTAATCATCTTGTCGTCCTGCTTCTTTGAGGGCATTAAAAATATCGGCCCGACCCATGTGTTAATGAAGCGGAAATGCACATTGTTATTCAAGATTTGGTTGACGGGGTAAGGTGGATGTTTCAGCTTCTCAAAGTCATGAAATAGGTGTTTCATTAACTTCACAGCTAACAGTGGGATCCGCTGGTATTGTCAGGAGAGTGAGAATCAGGTGGAATTGACTGTGAGTGGAAAGCTCATTGGCCAGTGTGATTCATTAGCTTTCAGTCCGTGAAATAGGTCGTACGTATAGACGTGCTGTGTGGCAGTTTTTAGCAATGTGTGTTTTATTCCGTTGAAGCTCATGGGCTGTCCAATGTAGGTGGTGTATCAAAAGTTAGAATTCTGAATGCTGTCAGTGTGATTTTTCGAGAACGGACGTGCGTTGGACATGTGTGGGGTCGACGTGTAGTGGGGTCGACGTGTAGTGGGGTCGACGTGTAGTGGGGTCGACGTGTAGTGGGGTCGACACGATGTGGATCTGTCTGTCACAAGTATCTTCAAGTTCAACAGAGCTGCCATGGTAACTGGTGGTTGACCAGTGTGGGATAGTGATGGGGAAATATCGGGGATACTTCGATCAGTAATTAAGCAGCAGACGGTGGCCGGAATTTTCTTCACTAGTTTCGGTGCATTACCTTAGGAACTCAGGTGGCAGGGTCTCATGGATAGAAAGCCATCAAAGGAAGGTCACGAAATGTGTGTCTACACAGTCTGGCGGGAGTTGCCAGTCGCAGCCATCTGGGCATGGAGTGCAGGATAATATGATGGTTCGGTCCATGTTCTGGAGACTGCCAGTTTGTGAATGTGCTTGGCAGGAAGAAGTAGACTGATTGAATTATTCATTGATTGCCAATACATCGTCGTCTTGTGTTCGTCCATATTAAACAGTTTTATATGTTACAGTTTCTTAGACAGGCCTAATGGATGCAGCTTGTTACGTGTGCCTGGCTAGTAGTAGCATAGTAATAGTTGGAGTAGAGTAGTAGTAGGAATAGAGGAGTAGTAGTAGACGTAGTAGCAATAGTAGTAGTAGAGTAGTAGTAGTCTCAGTAGTGGTAGTAGTAGTAGTAGTAATTGTAGTAGTAGTAGTAGTAGTAGTAGTAGTAGTAGTAGTAGTAGTAGTAGTAGTAGTAGTAGTAGTAGTAGCAGCAGCAGTAGTAGTAGCAGCAGTATTAGTAGTAGTAGCAGCAACAGATTTATCAGTAGCAGCAAAAGCTGCGGCAGTAGTAGTAGCAGTAGCAGCAGCAGCAGCAGTAGTAGTAGCAGTGGTAGCAGCAGCAGTAGCAGTCGTACTAGTAGTTGTAGTAATATTAGTAGCAGTAGTAGCAGCAGCAGTAACAGAAATGAAAAAATAAATATAATAATTCAGATCCAACGGCCGGCATAATGCTGACAACATTACCCACCTAGGTGCTAATCCCATGTGCCTGATGCTCCTGAAGGCGTGAAAAGGGATCTTAAATTTCTTAATTAATTTAAATTCAGATCTAATATATGTAGTATGTGCTGTATCAGTAAATATTAAAAAGGCGAGTTTTCAATAACTGAACACTGGAAAAAGGTTAAGCTATTTACAGATAAATGTTGCCAGGCTCTCTAGCGTAGTTGGCTTAACCGGATTGCGCGGTGACCGGGTGACGAACTCCTTGTGGTCCGGGTTCACTCCCGTGGGTAAGCAGAAAAGCCACATTTCTCCCAGATTTACGGTATTTACAATGGAATCAAGGCGGAAAGGTTGCGATATCCATAATACCGAGCCTAAGGGTTAACAACTCATGGCTTCTGGATACTAAAACAAACAAACAAACAAACAAATGTTTTAGAAAGGGTGAGGAAGCCCCTCTATGGGCATAAGCCACCAGGTTGTTTGAAGGTTATCTAAAATGTAGATCAACACAATTGTAAACTTACGTAGATGGCTTCTTTGATGCACCAAGCATCATATTCTGCAGGAGCTACGAACAACGCCATGACCAGTTCCTTGTAATCGCCACTGAGCTCAGACTTGATATCAGAGATCAGATCCTACAAGAGGTTCGTAAACAGGTCATTGTTATTGGAGATCAGATCCTACAAGAGGTTCGTAAACGGGTCAGTCATGGCAATAAATGTGTTGGGGTTATGAATATACAAACGCTAAGCATACACGTATTAAAAAAAGTGATTTTCTCCGCTAGAATTGCCACCTGAAGGGTGAGGCAAAGAGGCACTTTGTGGATATGAATCTATGAGGAGCAAGTCCCCGACAACCCGTTCAACCGTATACAAAGGTTTTATTAGGGTTACCTAGGGAGAAACCTGCTGCCCTGCGTTTCCGTGTTAGGAAGTGTTGGAAAGTATATAGGTAAAGGGCCTTTTCTCTGTCTTCAGGCGTATTGGGCATATAAGTCTAGATTTATATTTTACAGACCAGTCGGCACTGGGTGGGTGATGTGGTGAATATCACGCTGTCCGCCTATACTTCCCAAGACTGCACCTGGTACAGCTGGGTCACGACCGGCTCTAGCTGACGGGCCGTGCTGCTGACCTCACCGGGTCGGGCTAACGATGCAATAACGCAGCGTTTCTCAAACTGGGTACTGAATCGCCCTGGGGTGCCGTGAGCGTATGCCAGGCGTGCCACGGCAATAATCAAGAAAAGTCGGCTAAAAATTGTGAAATTATTAAAGAAGGCATGTAGATACTTAAAAGTTAAAATGTACGTTGTCTTTCCTCGCCAGTGTCGAAAATAGTTTATTTCTTGTTTGAGAACCGCTGTGTTAACGCGTCGTTAGCCCGACCCGGTGACGTCAGCATCACGGCCCGTCCGCTGAAGCCGGTCGTGGCTGGGTCCACCTGATAGCCAAGGCTTTTGTTTTGAAAAATGTCCGGCTTCGTCAGGACCCGAACCCCCGACCCTCCGATCCGCAGTGAGCGTCAAACCGCAACACCATTTCGTCTCTCCTTAAAAGTGTGTGTGTACGTGCGTGTTTAAAGAAAGAAAATAAAAATGGAAATTGCTGAAGAGCAGTATGATTTTTTAGAAAGGAAAGGTACAATTAATGCAACATACCACATCGCGAACATGTGAAGAGAGATCAGTAGAGAAACAGAAAGACATTCATTTGTGCTTCATAGATTATACCAAAGCTTTTGATAAAGTGATATATGATGACATGATTGTTGGAGGATATTAATATTGATGGAAAGAATCTCAGAATTAAAAAAAAATATTTACTGGAAGCAAATTGGAGAATGAAGTAGGCCGTTATGAACATATTAGGCAAGGAAAGAGACAAGGATACAATCAGACAGTTACTGGTGCCATCGCTTGCTGCTGAAGTTGGGGACGGATCTCTTATGGGGGTGCCCCTAGTGCTGTGATGTTGATTCCTAATTCAACATTCAACATTGAAACATGGGTGTGTTTTGTCAACGGATCTCTTCTATCTCTGTAGTGAAATAATAAACAGGAAGGTCAAGGATACATCAGGAATACTAACTGGAGGTTATAATATAAGCAATCTTCGTTATGCAGATGATACAGTATTAATAGCTGAAAACGCAGAACACCTACAACAATTATTAGACATGGTGATACTAGTAAATGGGGGAAAAGAGGACTATCCTTGAATGTAAAAAAAAAAAAAAAAAGAAGCATTGGTTATATGAAAAAAACAAGGCAACTCTAAAATGGGGCTTCAAATAACGAAACATTGCATCCCACAGGGGGACGACTACGATTAGTGACATAGCAATAGATGGGAAAGTACTAAACTAAGTAAATAAATTCAAATATTTGGGGACATTTGTAACATCAGATCGACGATGACTTAAAATAAATTAAGAGCAGAATTAACCAGGCAAAGGCAGTATTTCAGAAGATAAAGAGATTCTTATGTAATAAATCACTCTTATTAAACATCAGAAAATGAATACCGAAATGTTTACATAGAGCCTGTTCTGTTGTATGGTAGTGAATCTTGGAACGTGAGAAAACAAATTATGAAGAGTTCAAAGGTAACTGCGATGAGGTTCTTGAGAAGAATGTTGAAAATACCTTGGACTGCCAGAGTAAATAACATTGAATGCCTAGTAATGGCTAATGAAAGTAGAACTTTATATACAACAATGAGAAAGGAGACTAACAAAGGTCTTTATTCATGTCATGAGAAAAGGAAAACGGCGAAAAAGACCGTGACGACCGGAAGGATCACTGGTACAAGAGGCCGAGGCAGACCAAGAGAAACGATGGTAGATGGCTTAAGACATTGACATGGAGGAATATCATCATTAAAATTTATCCAGAACACCAAAGACCGACCAGAAGAATAAGAAGAAGAAGCAGAAGCTGGATCATTAGAAGAAGCAGAAGGATAAGAAGAAGAAGAGGAAGAAGACAAGAAGAACTACGTCACATACTCGACCATACAGCAACTTAAAGGTGTCCTTCAGCTCCTGTCTCTGTTGATTGCATCTGGTGGAGACCACATGAACGATTGCATCGTCATTAGTTCCTGGAGAAGCAGATGTGTCAGGCAATGAAATAATAGAAAGGAAAAAAAAACAAAGATTTTATTCACGTCAGTGGAGCATTAGACATGTGATACTAGTCTCATAGTTTTATAGATCGATTGGGGAGAGAGGGGAGGGGTGGTAACATCACATCGACCGCCTTTACTTTACATGACTTAGCCTGGTACCGATTTTAAGTAAGTATGCAAACCGGCACCAAGTTATTTGTTGTATGTGGTTCAGCTGAGCTGAGTGCTCACCCGCCATAACCCTAAACCAACGATTAGTGATTGAGGACATAGGCTAGACAGTCGGAAACACATATTCTTCTTCTTTGTTTTTCTTTGCGTCAACCAGCTGTGAACTCTGGTGGAAAGTTCTGGTTGTTCGTCCACTTCTGGACGGCAGTCGTGTTCCAGAACCTGAATGTCGCGTGGGCATCTGTTTGACATATCTGACATATGTCTGTGCAGACTGTTGATTCCTTGTCTTTCAGGCAGATGCACTCCGACTTTGAAGGAAGCTCCAAAATAGTCGACTCTTACGACATGCTTTGGGTAGGCAGTGGGTCTATTCTTTTTTCCTTTTAACAGGGCCCCGAACCCACTCGGGGTGGGGGGGGGGGGCAGATATTAAAACATATTGTTTCTCAAGCTTATGTTCCATTCAATCTATTGTCTGCTTCAGTCTATGATTTGTCTCTGTTGTTGCAGACTGGGACAACCATAATCCTTGAACTGTTCTATGTAACTTGGCTCGCCAGGGAGAGTCGTTGCAAAGAGAAATTAGTAAACGCATGGTGAGCTGTTTGGTAGTGAAAGACCTCGGATTAGAAACCAGCAGGACCTGAGCTGGAAATTTGCTTCCGTGGCTGCAGACTAGCTCAGATTAGGATTAGTTTTATAATATTTTCTTCACTTCGTTGGTGGCTTTCACGTTAAACAGATTCGAACCCAGTGAGCACAGAAAAGAAACCCGTTATAAAATGGAATTCACAGCATGTATGTAAAATCCTGAATTTCATCATCATCATCATCATCCTCATCAACATCATCATCTCGTTGTCATCATCATCGTCCTCTTTATATTCCAGCGTCATAGTACAGAACGAGTTAAACTGAATGAGCTGACTTTGTACCCTAACAGGACATCACATCGAGCGATAGACACCTGATGACACACAGTGCTACCATTTGGATGAGGATCACCCGGGTTCAGGACCGAGAAAATACGCTCAATTCATAGGTTTGGTTATAAAAAGGCCACAGGCAACAGCCAGATTGTGCCTCTTCAAAATAACGAAAAATTGCGTCCCACATGGGGACGGACTAATACGAGTTTAACTAACTCACCCATTCCTTTCATAGCAGCCCGCAGATATTCACAGTCATACTCCGGGTCCCAAGACTGACCAACCACGTCCGTTCCTCGGTTCTTGAGATACCAAGCAGCCACCGGATCACCAGCGTCGTACTGTTTGAACGGTTTTACTGTTCCCTCTGTGATTTCAAACGTACCGGACATCTTCTGGCGACGCATCAGCTCTGCGACTAAGACTCTTTTCATTTCTTCTTTGACTTTCTCCTTGATGGCATCTTCTGACAAAGTCTGTGGTGAGAGGAAACACTTGTAAAATCAATAAAGTTGACACTAGAAACAACACTACAGATACAGATAATCTTTTTAGGGACAGAAAAGAAAAAGAAGAAGAAAAAGAAGAAGAAGAAGAAGAAGAAGAAGAAGAAGAAGAAGAAGAAGAAGAAGAAGAAGAAGAAGAAGAAGAAGAAGAAGAAGAAGTAGCAGAAGAAGAAGGAGGAGGAGCAGTAGCAGAAGAAGAAGAAGAAGAAAAGTAGCAGAAGAAGAAGGAGGAGGAGCAGTAGCAGAAGAAGAAGAAGAAGAAGAAGAAGAAGAAGAAGAAGAAGAAGAAGAAGAAGAAGAAGAAGAAGAAGAAGAAGAAGAAGAAGAAGAAGAAGAAGAAGAAGAAGAAGAAGAAGAAGAAGAAGAAGAAGAAGAAGAAGAAGAAGAAGAAAAAGAAGTAGAAGAAGAAGAAGAGGAAGAAGAAGAAGAAGAAGAAGAAGAAGAAGAAAAAGAAGTAGAAAAAGAAGAAGAGGAAGAAGAAGAAGAAGAAGAAGAAGAAGAAGAAGAAGAAGAAGAAGAAGAAGAAGAAGAAGAAGAAGAAGAAGAAGAAGAAGAAGAAGAAGAAGAAGAAGAAGAAGAAGAAGAAGAAGAAGAAAAGAAGGGGGAGGAGGAGCAGCACTAGGGGGAGAAGGAGAAAAAGAAGAAATGCGTGCAATGTAAGCTAATAGTTTGAACCGTAAGGTCTTCGTGGCGAAGTGGTCCAGATGTTTGTCTCCCGCTTTGAAGGTGGTTTTTTTTGTTTGTTTCACGGCTGCGAGGTTCGGTCCAGGAGTGCAGTTTTTACGGAGACATCAGTGTATGGTTGCCGGAGCTACGGTGTTGGTACTTTGTGCGACTCTTCTGGTAGGCGGCTGAGCATATTCGATAAACCCAGTGCAGTAAAGTTGATCAACTTGACTGTAGCCTTTAACCTTCAGTTTATACTGTATTCGCTGTCGGTATTTATAGATTTAGAGCGATTTGAGACTGGGGGTTAGTAAACGGCAAAAAGGTGTGTGGAAGGTGGAGCGAGGTGGATGGGGGGGGGGGGGGGGGGGCAAGTGAAGAATTCTTGAGCCTGATTGTTTAAAGCCTAGCTAGGTTTTTTTTTTAAATTTTGAATCTGTACCCATGTTACCAACCCAGGTATCCCAAAGTGCTACCCTTTCGGCCAGCCTCGCCTTGTTTTATATTATACAAAAGATACCGCTTGCCACCGAGTTGCCCTTTGGCTCGCCGGTAGACGACTTGGATGTGTCTCCTTTGATCGTAGCAACACTACAGGAGTCCTTTTCAGAGCTACCTGGTGGTGAGCAAAGCTAAGCCTTTTTAGGACAGAACAAATAATGTGCAGTGCCATAGTAGATGGGAGCCCCCCGTGGTCTAGTGGCTAGATTCACTTCATTTATAATCTGTCTTTTGCTCTGAATTCTCTCTGTATGTGCCCTGGTGATATTGAGGAGGATATATGTGTGTGTTTGTGTGTGTGTGTGTGTGTGTGTGTGTGTGTGTGTGAATGTATATATGTGTATGAAGGTATGTGAGTGCATATGCGTGTAGATGCAAGAATGTGTATGGATGTGTGCTTATGTATGTATAAGCGCATGTGTGGTATATGTTTTGTGTGCATGGGCGTGTCTGTATGGGCATCAGTGCATGTAATATGTTTGTATGCGGGTGTATGTATGAATGCGTGTGTCTGTATATGTATGTTTGAGTGTGTATGTGTATGTGTACGTATGGGAATGTAAGAATGTACGTGTATATTTGGAGTGTGTATGGTTGTGTATGCATTATTTCAGTGTGCCTCACTGATAACATGCTGCGTCCGTGGTTTAGGCGTTGCCAGTCCGACTCGTAATCCAACATACCGCGATCGAAACCCACTGCTGGCTGCGTGGATTTTTATCATGGTATGGGGCATCGCAGGTCGACCCAGCCTAAAATGGGTTTCAGGATGGCTGTCCTGGGAAAGTAAAGACGGCCGGCGTAATGCTGACCATATTACCATCCAGTGCCGATTGGTCTGTAAAAATATGGGACGCTCTTCCCATATACCCGAGGCGCCTAAGGCGCCAAAAAGGATCTTTACTTTATTTACTACTTTACTTATACCGCTGTCTGCCTCTTTTTTTTTGCTTGACTTCAACTTAGTGATATCTTCTAATATGGTCGAAATATTTCACTTGTTTTTGCTATTGTCTTTCATTTCCCCCTCTCATTAACTGTCGTTTCATGTCTAGTTTTTACAGTCACTTCTGCATCTAACTGTTTTTGTTTAACGAAAACACGACCTAGTCTGCTCTAGAGACTTATTAGGATAAGTAAAGGAAGTAAACCACCCTTATCCACACCTTCATGCATACTGGGCTTGTAGGGCTAGACCTTTGTTTTATAGACAAGTGGGTGATGCGGTCAACATTACGCAAGCCGCATTTACTTCCCAGGACTGCACCTAGTACCCACTGAAGGCTGGGAGCCAAGGCCATTTATTGAAGAGAGCTCGGCTACGTCAGGACCAGAACTCACGTCCTTCCCATCCGCAGGCGAGCATATAGCCACTGCACCACGGCGTCCCACCTAATACGATATTGTTCCTAATGTATTTCACGAAACACAAGTAATGACACCACTAGTGTCTTACATGAATATGCTATTTTTCTTTTAATTATTAATCTCACGTCTTTATCCACGTGTGATGATTTCGGTGTAGGCTCCACTTCTGCAGCCTTTTCGATGATTTCCTCTGGCTTTTTCTCGCTGAGATTCTGTTGGACAAGTAGAAATGCATTTGTATGTAAGATTCTGTAGGACAAGTAGAGACATGTTTACATGCTAGTTTGGTTCTATAGGGCAGAGTCCGCGAGGCTGGGTAGGAAATGTTGACATTTTAGTGAGAACATGAAATATATTCACATGTTAGTGCAGGACAAGTCGAGACATGTCCGCCTGTTAGTGATGTTCAGTAAAACAAAACAGGTACACCCTCAAATGTATGTAAGATTCTGAACTATACGTATTTATATGGTTGTCCGTAAGAGAGATTCTAGGACTAAAAGTCCACTAAAAATAGGCAGAGAAGTGAATCAAAGAGTTAAGAGAAACAGCTGGTTGGGGGAAAAAGGGGGGGGGGCGGAACATAGGGGTATAAGATGTGGTCCGTGTTGGTTAAGGCCCTTGCTTCATTTGTGATAAGAGGAAGGAGACGAGGAAGACGACGATAACGAAGAAGAAGAGGAAGAAAAAGAAGAAGAAGAAGAAGAAGAAGAAGAAGAAGAAGAAGAAGAAGAAGAAGAAGAAGAAGAAGAAGAAGAAGAAGAAGAAGAAGAAGAAGAAGAAGAAGAAGAAGAAGAAGAAGAAGAAGAAGAGAAGAAAGATATAATAATAATAATTACAACAACAGGAACAACATCAACAATTAAAAAGCAACTTTTTTCATGCTCTAGGGCATATAGGGCTAGATCTATATTTTTTCATAAACCAATCGGCACAAGATGGATGATGTATTCAGCATCACGTCGGCCGCCTTTACTTTCCGGGACTGCACTCGGTACCCACTCAAGGCTGGGTCGACCTGGGAGCTAAGGTCATTTTTTTTTAAATTACGGCTCCGCCAGGAAGCGAACCCACAACCTTCTGATCCGCAGCGAGCGTCTAGCAGATCTGCCAAGGCGACATCCATCAGCAATATAGTAAATTTTAAATGTTAGGTTCTTTCTCTTACCTGCCCCCTGCGAAGCATCTCTTCCATTTTCTGAGAGAAATAAGAAGCGACATTTAAATACTCATCGGATTTAAAAACCTTTGAAATAAAAGGTAACTATCTTAGGACAAAATAATCCAATCTTTCATTATATGAACGCCTAGACATTTTTCTAAACAAATGATTAATTATAATATTCCGAGCTCATAATTCTCATTGAAGAAATAAATATCCTTAATGAAACAGGGAAATATATCTAACAACAATATCTGCTGATCTGAACAACAAGGAAGATTGGCTAATAAACAGCATACAGTCTCGAAAGCTGAAATATTTTGGTCATATCAAGCGCCACAACGGATTGGAAACAATAATACCAGAAGGCATTGTACCAAGAAGGAGGGGCAGGGACCGGCCAACACGAAGATGGGCACCGGACATAAATGACTTTTTGATATGAAAGTACATGAGGTGGGAGAGCTGGCGAGAGTAACCGAGTTTCTTTCAGACAGACCTTGATGAAAGAGGCGTTCTGCAAAGGACCTGCTACATGATGATGATGATGATGGTAAGGAGGTAAATTAACACTGAGGCATGACGAAATTTATTTAAGCATTATGCAGGCAACATGTGCAGCTCAACAGAGCCACGACATTTTGAGGGCATTTTAAGGGCTGCTAAGTAGGTAAGTAAATGTTACCCCTCCAGGACATCATACAGAGCGATAAACACCCGGGGACACAAAGTGCCACCTTGCGGATGAGGATCACCCGTGGAGGGGTCCCGGAAAACCCATTTAATCGTTGGGTTATATTGGGGCTTGCGGCAGCCGCTGGGGTGGGGGCTTCATATTAAAAACTAAAAAGTGCATCCCATAAGGGGACGACCTATACGATAGTGTACTATCAATGAGGGCTGCTAAATATAGTTAGCAATAAAACGGCTGAGCAAATTAAAAGGTTTCTATGATAAAAAAAATTTTTTTTAATATATAAACTATTAAACTTTAATGATTATTGCTTGTTTGCTTATCACATATTTTTGTCTTCGGAATAATTTTTACATTTTTAACTATCATATTTGTTTTATCAGGCATCTGTTCAGTTACGTTTAAATTAATCTTCATCTTCTCTCTCTACTCCTGGAATTCCTCGCGGCATTAGGACAGGAAGAAATC